TCTCTCAAAAAAAAAAAAAGGCATCACAACAGAGGATTTCAAATAAAAGAAAGCAAAGGAACAGGGAATTATTCTTAAAAACAAACAAACAAACAAACAAAAAAAAAAAACAAAGTCTTCAAACACATTTTTAAAAATAGGTTTTCGCTACAAGGAGTGTGAGCTCGGCAAGAGACAGAGACAGAAAGTGAGAAATCACCCCCAGGGGAGATGGCCATGCCACATCCCTTCTGCTCCATTCTCCTCTTGGGATTTTGGGTGTGCTGGACATGAGTTTCAAGTTACTGGGTGCGGGACTAGAACCGCAGTCAACCATATGGGAGTCCAGCGACATAGCCATTACGCTAACTGCTGGTTCCCCCCTACAAATGCATTTTAATAGCTGCATGACAGTTCATTATGAACTCACCCAAATGGAAACATCATAAAGCTTCTCACATCTAAATCTTTGGCACATAAAAGGGCAGGGGCCAGCAGGTGGCATAGCAGTTAAGGTGCTAGACTCCCTCATGGCAGACTGTGGTTTGAGTCCAGAACTAGCAGCTTGAAAATCATGTCGGGTGTGTGTGTGCGTGCCCAAAATCCCAGGAGAAGAACGGAGGAGAAGAGACTGCAGCATGGCCATACCCCTAGGGGAGTCCTCACTTTCCTCCTCTCTCTCTCCAGTGAGCACATGTGCCTTATGGCAATCCCCCGTTGTCCCTCAAAAAAAGAGTAGGGCAAATGCTCCCTCACTCAGTGGTGTGTGCTGTGCCCAGGGAAACTGCTTGGCTGGCAGGGACAGGGGAAGTGTGCTCCCAAGCACCTTGCCTGCGAGCGTGTGGCAGAGTTCACTGTCACTCTCTCCTGACATGTCACACTTCTAAATTTTACCTTCCTTCTCAGCCTCTCCCTATTACTGTGGTCCCAGAAAGGATCCACTGGGGAGGAGGAGAAAGGGCCGTATGACTTGACGTGTGTTCTGAAACGATAAGGCACTTCGGACACATGAACGGTGCTTTATTGAATAAGCTGGAGGCAGGCAAGGCCGACAGGACCAGGGCCTGGTCTCGGTATGCCGGAGTCTAAGTGACTGTGTCCGACGTCTGTAGGGCCTGGGAGTGGGCATGCGAGGAGGGAGTCAGTGGTCGCAGCCGCTGGGATGCTGGGTTAGAGGCGGGAAGCCTGCTGTGGTAGGACCGCAGAGCAAACCTGGTACATGGGGTGACTGCGCGGGCGTCTGGAGACCCAGGTGGGGCAGCGACCACTCCCACTGGGCAGGGAGGTTGGCTGGCCTCCTGGGGTTGGTGCCCATGTTAAGGTCAACCCGTGGACCGCCACCCTCCACTCCAAGTTCTCCAGGTTCCTGTTTGGTCTAACACAAAAGAAAAAGAAGAAAATGAAAACCAAACCAGAGAGAAAGACGCAGGAAAAGAGGCAGTGAGGACAACAGAGTGAAGAGGAGGAAAAGGAGACAGTGGGGAGGCGTGGTGGTGGGGAGACAGTGGGGAGGAGTGGTGGCGGGGAGACAGTGGGGAGGCGTGGTGGTGGGGAGACAGTGGGGAGGCGTGGTGGTGGGGAGACTGTCTGACAAGTAGGCTCTTTCTGGTAGGTGCTCAAGCAGCGAGAGGTATTTTGGGGTCTGGACAACGTTATTACATACCCAGAGTGGACCATTCGGATACCCTACAGGTCAGAGGAATGGTGTCCACTATACTCACTGCCCACCGTCCTTCTAAACAGATTTGGTGCCCTCTTTCTGAAAAGCAATTTCCCGAACTTTCTGGGAACTGATTACTTCAGTGGAGCAGGCAGTGCAGAAGCAGTGCCAAGGAGTTGTCCTTCCCGGAGAATGCTCAGCCCCTCCAAATTTCTGGGGTGGAGAGCAAGGTGGAGGCGGGGGTGACCTGGGTTAGAGCCAGGAGGCGGGAGACGGGAAGGCTGTAGAGACAAGGAGGAGAGAGGAGGGCTGGGTGCAGGAGTACAGACCCCGCTCCGCAGCTCCCTGCACCTCTTGCTGCCTTCCCTCTGGGCTGCAGGAAAGGCAGTGTGGTGTGGGTGGGGAGCCCCAACAGTCACTGGGGTGCACGGATGGGGTGTGGGGTGGAGGCAAGGGGTGCTGGGAAAATGGAGAAGGCCACAAAGGCAAAGCGCAGGAAGTGCAGGGTTCACTGTTCTCGTAGGGACGCACCCGTGTTCAACCTGCTGAGAAGAGAATGAATGCTTCCAAAGGCACTTTTATCAGAAAACTACAGAAAAAAGGGGAAAGGACAGACTGACAAGGTTGGAGGGACTCTTCCATCTGCATAGCTTTTGCTTGCTTTTTTTCCCTCGATGCTCTTAGCCTATGTGAGTAGACACTAGACCAAAATGCTTCCTCTGCCTTCCGAGTCCACACGCAGAGGGCCTCTGGTAAGCGGCCTCCCAGCCCTACCCTGCAAGCGCCCCTCGGCTTAGAGGGCATCCCTTCTCTTGCTCCTTTTGAGCCCGCTCCCAGCTCTGGGTCCTGGAAGTGCTTCTCTCCTCTGACCCAACCCTTTCCCTTATCTTCAATGAACTGGCCTGTGGTTAAGCCACACTCTCCCTTCCTCCAGACATGGTATCTGGAAAAAAAAAAAAAAAAAAGAGGGTGGTGGGAGGCTTGAGAGGTCATGGAATCCAGCCTCCTTCTGAAAGGATCCCCCAGGGTGAGGACGAGACTTGCCCAGTGTCTCGCTGGGAGGGAGCTGTGGGGCTGAAGGGCACACTCCAGTCAGTACAGACATCTTACTACTATGATTTTTTCCCTACGGGACATAGGTGATCACCAGAGACAGAGAAAGTGAGAGATCACCCCCCGGGGTTTGGGGGGGATGGCCATGCCACAATTCCTTCTCCTTCATTCTCTCAGGATGCTGGGCATACTGCACGCCAGAGTGTTTCTCAAGCTCCCAAGTCCGGGACTTGAACACCCCGTAAGCCATGTGGGTTCCAGCGGGCTTAACCACTGTGCTACCGGCCAGCCCCAATAGCACTATGACTAAAACTCAACAATGATTTGTTGCTAAGTCCCTTCCCGTTCTCCCTTCCAAAGGCCCTAACTTGACTGTGGGTCTTGGCTTTCTTCACTGTCCTTGCCTCTGCTCCCACCTGTCCACACCGCACAGGCCCCGCCGGGAAAGCAGCAGGCTTCGGTACCAGGACAACCTGGGTTAGCTCGAATAGCCCAGAACCGTTGGCCTGGCCTATAACCTGCTGCCTGTGAAGGGGGTGCTGCTCATTGGTCCAGCAGAAGTGATTGACGGATCCATAGCCCAATGAATGATGACTCTTGAAAGCGCCAAGGCAGTTACCGGCTAGTTCTCTCGAGACTCTGGAGTAACGGTTTTTGCAATACTGGTTCAGCTGAATTTCATACTCAAATCCCAGCATCTTATTAGTAGAGGCTGATAGGCAGTTCTCTCCCCCATGGAAGGAGCCTCAACAAACAAATGACCCTTCAAGAGAAGATGGGTGCCTCATATGGAATGAATCACTTAATAAAGGGGGAGCTCTTTTGTTAAGTTGGTGGGAAAGTGAGTGGGCAAAAGGGAGGGAAGGTGATTAGGGGTGAGGGACGGAGAACTAGGGCAGCTCCCAGGAAGCTCGAGTTACACGTGTTTATTGTAACGTTGATAGACCGTGTGCATTATGGAGGCCATCCCTGGGGCCTAAATGGGTACTGGGACCTGGGTGAAATTATGGGGTCCCTGCTGGGGCCTCTAAAAGCCCAGGGATCCCAAACCTAACTGGCAGGCACGTGGGATGTGGCCATGGTTCTCCTGCTCATGGAAATGGCCTCTCTGCAAGGTCTCAGTAGGAGCTGGCTTGGATGGTGAAAGGGAGGTCTAGACTGTGAGATGACTCTTAGGAGTGAAGTGTGCGGGGAAGGTTGGAGCACAGAGGTGGCACAGCTACTTGAAGAGTCTAGCCTCAGCAAATGTGGCCTCTGTAAGCACAGCCATGAGGCCACTCCTTAGAAGATAGATGGCAAAGAAGAGAGTGTTAGAGGGACTTAGAGCCCAAGTCCCAGAAAAGCTGAGCAAGAACTATGGTGCATTGTGGTCACTCAGTAAGTGCTAGCTATTAGTATCATTGCTGCTCCTCTCGGAGGGGTGGAAGTTTAGCAGTGTGAATAGTATAGGGAGTGAGAGGAGAATAAGTGCAAGAGAGCCAGGAAAGCAAGCCATTCTGATTGTCTCCATTAGCTCCAGGGGTGATCGTGAGAATTGCAGAAGCCCCTCCTCCAGCAGGGAATGAGAGGGAAGGACTGAAGAGGGTGTTGGTGTGTGTTGGAGCTGGGAACCCCAAGCATGGGAAGTAGGAATGGGGAGAAGCTGTCCTTCTCACACCTCCTAAGGGGGCCTGCCAGAAGTGAGGTGAAAGAGAGGGGAGGATACAGGGAGAATGAGCATGGGAGTGGTGTGGACAGCCACTGGCTGGGCCGTGTCACTTTATACACAACAGCTATTGTGGCTTTGGGAGAGTGGGGTTGTGGGGAAGGAGCCCACCTAGTTCTCTCTCCTGGTAAAAGGGAATTGTGGGAAAATTTAAGACTCCATTGGGAATTCTCATTCATCACATGTGTCAACTTACTCAGGGACCCCAGGTCTTCAAGGGCTGACAAAGACTCCCTCAAGGGGCCCTGAAAGAAGGAAACCATTTTCTATTGAAGAGGAATTTGTGTTTCATCTGAGGATCCCGACTGCTCTGAAGAGTGCGTGGTAGAAGTCATGAAGGTTCTGGACGGGAGACGACACTCTCCTTATCATACTCTATTCCTTTTGCCCTTCCTACCCTTACTCCGTGTCTCTCTTATCAAGTCACTAAATCCAAGGCATTTGTTGGGAGGGGGTGTGGAGCGGGCAGCCATGAGGTAGCTTAGAGAAGGTGATATTGAAGGAAGAGCAAAGACCGCCTTTGAGCCCCCAAATTACACTGAATACGGGCCCATTGAGGGGTGAGAAACCAACAAAAGCTATCTTTTAGTAACAGTTGAAGTGCAAAGTCACTTGGGACCAGCCTGCCCGAAGTGAGGAACTCTGGTCTTAAAATGTATGGGGAGAAGGTGGAGAAAGGGGAGATGAAGTAGGCCAGAGAGAGGCAGGAGGAGGCAGAGCAGCAAGGCTAACATGGCCTGAGATAAGACGAAGCTCAGCAATCACAGCTGAGGCCACACTGAGCGCTCAGAGAGACACCCCCACAGTGAGGCAGCTTGACTTCACAGCCAAGTCTTCCATGGTTTCTCTGTTTCCATGTTCACTGAATGCTTCTACTGATTTACAAAGAAAATTTATAGAGTTCTCAGTCTTCCAAGATTCCAGAAAGCACTGCATTTACTGATTTATACCCATTTTACATAAACTCTGGAGATGCTCACTGATGCGCACAGGCGATGGTCTTGCGCACAGGGTTCAGATCTGGGTGCAGCAAATGAGATGGGCAGTGGGGTGCTGAGGAAAGTCAAAGCTCAGAAGTCAGCTCTGGAAGCTGTTTTCATGTTCCGTCACCATGCATCAAGGGCTAAACAAGCCCTCAGGAGTAGGACGAGCCTCCTGTCTAGCATGCTGGGATGCGGCATAGCAGCGGGGACACGTAGGCACTGGTAGGGCTGCTGGCCTCGGAGCGGTCTAAGGGAGCGCTCTGATGGGTGAGCAGTAGACTGGCCCTCAACGAAGGTGCATTGCTAATCTTGGATGGTTTGCCATCCAAGAGGGATGGAATTCCCATGGTCAGTGACGTAAAGTGCTTCTGATAAACCAAGAAGGACCCAGGCCCAAGGCTGGGAGGGAAGTCAGGCCTGGGTAGAAGAGCACAGGCCTGAGGCCAACTACTGCTAGGATAGGAAGGTACTCTCTTCTCCAAGAGAGTCATCAGACAGGTCAGAGAGGGGTTACGGCCAGAGTCAGATATACGCAAGAGAAAATAAACAGATCGGGGTGAGGGGCAAACCAACACGAGAGAGAGTATTGAGGAGGGAATTCCATCAAGCTGCTGCTTCGAGTCATCTAAGAATGTCTCTCTCAAGCTCCCGAGATGGGTTTAACTCTCAAGGCCAAGGATATTCAAAACAGGCCTTGGGTTTCTCAGGGCTTCAGAAAATGGCCGTCATCATCTCTGACACTCACTTCAGTCAAACCCTCTCAATACGTGGAAGGTTGTCCACAGAGGAAAGTGGGTTTCAGTGAGAGGCGGGTGACTTTCCTGTGTGTTAGCCTTGGCTTAGCGACTCCAGATATGGGACATGTCCAGGAAGGGGTGGACTGGCAGGCCAAGAGCTAAATATCTTCTCGTTTCAGGGACCCTGTCCACATTCTTCCTGCCCACGGTTGGGAGAGCTGAGGGGGTCATGAGGGTTTTAAGGAACTGAGGGTGTAGGCAGGTAGGGAGAGAGGGCTTATTTTGAAGGGAGACTGCCAGACTCTGGTGAGGGCACAGTGGACACATGGGTCCCTGACCTTCCTCTGTCCTTCTCCGGCCATGTCTGCAGCTGGCCTGCCTGTGACACTTGACTGCCTACCCTTCCCAGCCCCCTAGGCCATCTGTCTTCCAGTGAAGTGAGGAGTGGGGAGTGAAGGAGGGGAAGATAGAACAGGAGAGATTTTATAGACACAGCTAGAAAATGGGTCCCCTGCGCAGGGCTGCTGCCTGTACATCTCTGCTGTTGCTTTTTGTCATGAGTGATTATGCTCATGCTCAAGGGCTGTTCACCCCCTCCAGGCAGGATTTAGAGCCCTCTGCTCTCCAAGACACAGACCTCCTGAGCCAAACTTGCTAAACTTACATCGGATGCCCCTCCTTGCTAAAAGTAGGCTCTCTGACCTATGAGGAGTTGAAGTGATTCAGAGACGGTGGTTGGTGATAGTTCCTAGACAAGGAAAAACAATCCTGAGAGACAGCCCTGCCAGCTGCCTCCTTTCTCTGCCCCACGGGCAAATGTAAGGAAAAGCTTGGGGATAAAATGGGGAAAAGGAGGCAGGGAGGAGCTGGCGTTCTTAGCCCCTAAATCTGCTGACGTAGTCTGGGTGACAGTGAGGTAGGCAGAGCCAGACAGAGGAGGCGATGGAAGTCTTAGGGGAATGGCCTAAGGGTCAGGTCAGCTGCTTCAGTGTCACCCTGCTCTGGGTGTCAGGCCACTCCTTGGGAATGAAATCTTTCTGCCTAGGCCGCGATGACTGGAGATGAGACTGCCGAGCCCTGTCTGAGCACCCCTGAGTTTTTCCTTCGGCTCATGGTATTACTGGGACCTGATGTTTTTAAGATTCAGGAGTTGGGTTCTGTGGGAGTCATTTTTGCCATCTGAGCATGGACAGAGTACCACTGAACGTGTGGTAGGATTCCATGGAAATAGCCACACTCCAGCCCTGGAAGCCGTTTTCTTCCTCTGGTCCTTCCCTGACTCCAGCTCCCCATGCCTCTGCTCTGACCCCCTGCCCGTGGGCGCGTAGAACAGGCAGGAGGGAGGGCGCAGACCTGTGGTGCACGGTTGCCTGCCAGCGTCCTGGTGGCCACGGGCGGGGGGGCGTGTCATTTCACGATAGCAGCTGATGATGCACAAGGCTGGAGACTGGAAGTTTCCAAAAGGAATTTTTTACAAGGGAACAAGGGTTAAAATGAAACCAAATGAAAAACTGGGACATGTAGGAGCCGAGAGAGCTTTTGAGTGGTGGGACAGCCTGCTGTGATCCTAGGCGTGGCTCTCAGCTGTGTGGCTCCACCGACAGGACTTCAAACCTGTTGTCTTCTTGGTCTGGTGAAAATGATTATTTCTCAGGCCTGCGGGTTGTCACCTTTGCCCTCCTTGAGTGGCGCAGGCCTTGGCGATCTGCCCGTGGAGCTCATCTTCATAGTTTTCGCTTTTTAGACTTCACCCTCTGGTGGCCCCATTGTTCTGGGGTCATACCTTCTGGCCTAGATCTCGTGGTCAACTGACTGGGGTGCAAAGCCCTGTTACCCTCTTGTTCCGACCAGCATAGAGGCCAATTTGGGGGAGGGGCAGGAGCTAGGCTGTAACCGTGAAAGACAGGGCAGAGACGTCAGGCCATTAACGAAGGAAAGAGGTGCGTGTCACCATCTCTGTTCCCTTTTGAAGTCCCCTGAGACCCCAGTCCCACCCCCTGCCATTCCTGTCTTCCCAAGCGTTACAGAATGCAGTCTTCACGGTTTCACAAAACTGATACTCTCTAAGGAAAAGAAGGGTCATTTCTTCACAGAGAAGAGTTTAGTGCCTAATAATCCAAACTAAACGTCAAAGAATTTATGAACATACTGGATAGCGTGTATAGTACAAATACATAGCAATCGTATGTGCGAGCTGTGTCAAAATGACATACAAGTAGAACGCGCGTGAGCAGGGGCTGGAATGGTCAGCAGGCGGGTGGGAGGAGGTGTGGATGGCGCGGGGCTCTGGAGTCGAGTGGGCAGTTCCGATGAGTCTCCGCGGTTGTTGGCAGGCTCGTGGGTGTGCGGCCTGGCCTTGGCTCCTTCCGGGACAATAGGTGTGGGAAGGAGGAGGAAGGACCTAAGTTTGGAGTGAGTCCGGGGTAGCCGAGGTGCTCTGTTGTGAGGTGACCCTGAGGGTCATTTAGTCTGAGGAGAGAGAAAGAGTGAGACCCAGGCCTCCGTGGGTTTGAAAAAATGTGCTTCAAAGGAAACTTTTGGGAGCAGAGAGGGAGAAGGCTGGCAGGTGGTACTCTTCCTGGCATTTTCTAGGTGTGTCCTGACCGGGGATCCTCGGGCTCCACCAGAGGGCCACAGGTCATTTTGTCATGGTTGTGAAACATGTCACAGCTCTGTGGGGTGGGCTTCTAGGCCAGGTCACCGAGTTGAGACAGATGGGAGTCATGATGGTGGCCTGGAGTAACTCACTAGAGGAATACACTGTGTTTCTAAACACGGGTATTTTCGCGGGGAGGATCAGGGAGGGAGAGGACTCGTGTCTTTGCCTATGCCTTGGGGACCTGGGCAGGGAGACACTGCATATCTCCTCCTCACACTGTCTCTGGTTCTCCAGAGTCCTCTGGTCTCCCCTCCCACATCCTGGCTCCCCTCAGGTTACGGGGTGAGATGAGGTCGGGTGATCAGCCAGGGGAGATGGCGGCCAAACAGCGCTCCATCAAGGAACGACGGAAGCAGCCTCTGAGTTTAGAGTTGGCCTCACTGAGACAGCTTGGCCGTGTCCCCGCGGTAGACAGCATGCACCGAGGCAGGTGGGAACGTGGGCTGGAAGGGAGGGTCAGGCTGGCCCTCGGCACGCTGGAGTCTAAGGCATCTGTGTTTGGCTTCTGTGACAGACCGGGCAGGGCCTCCAGAGTTTGTCAGGAAAGGACAGGAAAGATCAATGCACGAGTCCTAGCAGGGAGGGCCTCCTGGCAGGGGGCACTGAGTGACACCTCTGGTCTTTGCATAGATGACAGCAACAAGCACTCGGGCGGGAGAGAACAGGGCGATGGTAGGCAGTACGAGCAGAGACTAAGGGATGAGCAGGACTCTGCCACTTCCACCTCCTAGCCTCTTGTCGTTCTCCCAAGGAAAACACGTCTGGAGAGAGAGACAGATGCACACACAGGAGGAAGTTAACATAGACCAAGAGGCTCCATGGTCCGAGCAAAAGTGACAACTAAGCTCCTCTTGTGTTCCATTGGAAACCATTGAGCTAACTCACAGAGGTGGTTCTAGAACTTTATAGTCTTGCAGGCCTCGGGAAAACCTGTGTGCTTACCTGTGCATTTCGGATACACCTTCTAAACTTGGAGAAGGTGTTCGCTTTCACAGACTCAGGCCTGCACTCGGTCAGGACTCGATACTCCAGGTTCTCCATCCGCCCAGGGA